GTTTAATTATATAGTGTAGCTAAAACTATTTATTTATATTTTAGAAGCAAAGCTCAAAGTTCTCGTCTTAGATTGTCTAGCACACCCTTTTTGTCGCATGAGAGAAGTATTTGACTTGGATATTCCATATAAGAAAGTGGCAATAGAAGAGTTTAAGTCATTTATTCAAGCTTTATAGGAAATCAGATGTGCATTATCTGATATTATTCATAACTATGAAAAAATAGGTGAAAAACTGTTAAAAGATTATAATAAGATTTCTGGTTCGGGCCTATATGAAGTCGATTGTGGAGTACGAGGCTATCAATCACATCCTTCTCCATAATGAAAAGCATTTTTTTAGCTACCTTAGAAGTGTGGAGTGTGGGATGTATAATCCTTATTGTTTTAAAAGCTTCTTAAATATAATCAGCAAAAATTTACATAATAAAATTTCTCATTATGATAATTCAAAGTTAGTCAAAATTAGTTTTTTGCACGATGCATATAACAAGAACCAACTCAAAATTGAGAATACTATTTTAGTATATTATCTAGATTCATTTAAATTATCTTTTATAATAAATATAAATTCAAAATTTATATTCTTAGTTTTAATTTAAAAAGATAAAATTTTTTTGGAATAAAAATTTTTATAATAAAGAATGGAGAGAAAAATTCCCAAAATGTTAAATGCTTAAGTACCGATAACAAGTGATTTAAATCAAGTATATAAATAAAACTGACTAAAAACTAGTGCTCAATATTGAAAAGTCTAAGAAATAATTGCTGTGGAAAATTTTTACTCGCAATCCTGACCACCGAAAAAATCTCATAAACTCATCAAATGCCATCAGCACCTATCATCATGAACCAAAGAATTTCTCATTATTGGAAAATCAACCTGAGCTTCCTTATCTAAACCAGTATTGAGCTGTAAATATTCAGGCTTTTGCTATAAAAAATGACCTATTTCGCAAGTCATTTCATAGCAAAATCCCATGAACAATATTCCTAAAGAAAAGAATGTTACTACTTATAATGACATTATTAAATAATTAAAGACTTTAAAAAGTTACTTATTGATTGTGTTTTTAGCAATAGACCTCCATACTGGAATAAACGATAGCTCGATTGACATTTTGTACATTGCGGGAAAATTTTTTGTTCGGTTCGGCATGACAGAGTTGATGATATTTAATAAATTCGTGTGATTTATTCGTTGGTTAGGATTGATAGTGAAAATTATCATAGCAATTCTCTCTTGTGCTTTCAATAATATGCATTAGTATTAAGCCAATTTGATTAAAAAAATAAATAGCGTTTTAGCTTTTGAGTAGTTTGAGAAATTTTGAAATGATATCAAAGTCTATTTTTTAACCTTAAAATATTCAAAACGAATAGGAATGCTAATTGTCCATTTGAAAAAATGACTAATGGGACATCTTAACAATTAAGCACAGATACCATTAATAGAATGGACGTCACAATTGATAATACTATATTCTCCAGACTAATTTGATAAATGAAGACTTTCTAAACTCCCAAACTCCTTCGCTGAATAAAGACTTTCTACATATTCAATCGTTGTGGTTATTTTTTAATAGTTAATCGAAATTATTTTTTAAAGAACGAGTAACTTTATGTAGTAATTCAAGATCTTTGAAAATTTCATCAATAGATATAACCTCTGCATTTTCTTCTTCATAGTTTGAAACTGATGAATATTTTTTACATATAACAATATTTATACTATTATTCAACTCGACATCTAATTCTGATTTTTTGTATTAATTTCAATTGTCAATCTCTTGGACTCGTAGTGGACAATAGATTTATTAAATAGACGAAATGCGCTATTTGTTTCTGTTTGTAAGGATTGAAATTCGAAAGTTGAATATAATGAATCTATATTTTCCATAGCCGAAGAGTCAACATCATGTCGCAAACTTATATGATCCTCATTTGGAATTGTCAAAATAGCTTTATAAAATTGATAATAAGGTTGAATAGAGTGTGTTTTTGCTTTTTTATTTTATGTGGCAGGATTGGCTTAAGCTGAGATTCACGTGATCTGTGTCAATGGGATCGGTTTCACCAAATTTTGATTCTAACCAACACTAACTTTAAATCGAGCTACTCTAACTAGCGTTGACACCATCAAGACACCGTATTGTTCCGACATTTGTGCAACCATTTACTAAATCTTCTAGTTCTTTCATTTTTCGATAGTTATATTCTAATTTCTCTCTTCCTAGCTTCAGTTCCTGGACCTTAGACTTAAAGCACTTTACACTGTCTTTTAAATATTTTATTTTATGACTTATTTCAATATTCTTCAATGTTTAATATAAACTTAAATGATTTTGAAAAAAATTATATCTTTATATATTTTTAAACAGATCGCATATATTTGCGTAACAGATCAGCATTTATATTACACGTATATTAAACGTTAACTTCATTATATCATACAGAACTCAGAGTTTCATTTTGATATTTGTAAAAAAGGTAATACGAATAATCGCGGCAAAGATAGCATAAATTAAAACAAATATGAATTAATTATCTCCTTATTCGAACAAGCACATTTACCTTTGAACAAAGCCTTTTGCAATAGTGCGCGAAGAATTGGAAACTTTGTATATATCATTAAATTCTTAGCGATAGATAAATTATTTTTTAGCAAATTTTCTTTAGGCTGAAAAATTCTTTAATTAAAAAATTATGATATCCGATATGTTTTAACGCGTATAATTGCGTAACAGATCTGCTTATATATTATACTGTAATATTATTAATCGTTATAATCAAATGCTGTATATCATACAGAACTCGGAGTTTCATTTTAATGTTTTGTAAAATAGGTAATACGAATAATCGCGGCGAAGATGTATTAATTATCCTTATTTGAACAAGTTCATTTATAAAAAAACTCTATTAAAAGGAACACGTAAAATCTAGTTCTCATCAATTTTTGACTGTTAAACTACAAAATGTCAAGAAACATTTTAAAGCTTTTAGCACTTTTGCTAAGAATTACCTATACAACCACCATTATCTTTTTTTCTTTAATTTTTCTGACCATAATTTCTTTGATTTCTTTGATCTTTGCTTCTTTGATTTTCGCATCTTTGATTTTACTATTGAAAAATAAT